ATGCCGAGCTGCCTCGGCTGTTATCCAAGCCACTGTCAAACCAGCTCAAGCAACCAATCTGAGGTCGGACACAACCAAAGCTTCGAATAGCTTTGATTTCACTAAGTCAAGTGGTGTCAACGCAAAACGACCAGTCCCTTCAAAACAAAAGGAGTCAGAGGCCGGTCCCAGTCGGCAACCATCTATTGATGTCCCCACCAAGCCAAAACCAAAACCTCATCCTATCATTAAAGGCAAGGTTTCTACAGGGGAACTCGGTATAGTAACCCGAGAACGGTCGAAAAAGATTGCTGAAGAAAGTGTTCGTTCCACCTGGTCCAAGAAAGTTTCATTCGTCAGTTAAACCTATCATGTTTAATGATGTTAGTCATTCATGCCCGGGTGCGAAATACATAGCATGTTCAATGATGTTAGTCTGTGTCCGGTTTCAGCAGTGTCACTTTTCGTAGTTCATCATGTTTTCCTATCATGAAAGGCAAGGGTTGAAAAGGTGTTCGTTTGACTAATTGAGCCGGGAGGCTTGTCTTATGACCAATTAAATGTGAGCACTATCCGGCAGCGGGTATCTTCAACCGTGCCCGGGTGTAAACTACATAGCGAACCAACCTCGGTCTTGTGATCTAATCTTCTACTTAAACCCTGGTCCATCCCTTTTGTCCCTCCCCTTCCCCTTGTCTGGGATCTCGTCTGGGATGAATGGCCGTAGTCCTTCTAAAGTAGCGTCCATTGCTGCAACCAGATCACGGTCTGAATCGATTTGTTCACGCAACCGGTCCTTCTCCCTCCTCAAGGTGGCCAAAACATACCGATAATGGCTCGTTGTCGCTATGCTGTCAGGCAGGGATCTGAGCACCTCCTGGTGAATTTCGCTATGACGAACCAGGTCCATACGATCCATCTTGGTAAACTCATCTCCCCTCGTCAACAATTTATCAAAGGCGGCCTGCAAATTCCTAATCGAAGGGTCGGATGAAGCCTCGGGGTCCATAGCTCTTTCCCACACTTTGCCAATTGCCTGAACGACCTCGGCTACCACGCCCGTGCGATCACCAATGCTGTCATCAGACACAACCTTGATATTGTACTTGCGACATAAACCCCTTGCACGTGGGGAGTTTGGATCCAAGTCCAACAATTCGGTCGAAGGTGGTGGGCGTGGTGTTGTCCTCTCTTGAGTGTAGACGAAGACAGGAGCTGGGCCGAAAATGAAGGCATCGCCTGGCCGAGTTGGAGGTCTTATCAGTGCCCCCCTAATTCCTGCAGGATTCCGGTC